TGCACGGGACTATGGTGGTGGCACAGGGGTGATTTGGTGATGGGAAACCCGCGGGGATTACAATCGAGATGGAAAAAAAAAATGTGCAAAATGATGTAAAAATAAACTTTGTAATAAAAGAAAAACAAGTCTGGTAAAGAAAAATTATTTGGTGTGATTTGACCCTTTTGTAGTGATTGCATGATTCTGTGGCTGAAATGTGTAAAAAAACACATCTCTGATTTCATAATTAACATTGATTTGTTTTATTCTTTTTAGACTGATTAAGATAATGGAGAATTATTCCACTTCTTTGGGCGGAGAGTCAGTAGTGGAACCTAATATAGCCATACAGTCTGTTAAGTTCTCTGGAAAAGACTCAAAGACTAATACTGCTCTCTTTTCTATAATGAAAGGTAAGATGTTTGTCTTATGTGCTTGTAATAGCAGTGAGCATTCCTTACCCAACCTTAAAGAATGCTCTATTCATAAAATTACTTTTCAAATTCTTTTCTTTTCACAGGATCCAGTAAGTTTTTTGATTCTAGCTCCATATCTGTAGAAGAAAATGTGCACAACTATACTATGAAAGAACAGCTTGAACTTCAGATCTTGCTCAGTACTTCCAACAGTACGTCTCAAACTTTGTTAGTTTACAAAATGCACTCAAATTCAAAGAATTAATAATGTCCACTGAGACAGAAATGTTGCTGATATACTTAGTGTCACACTGAATTAGTTTGAGCTCTGACAGGTTAGGATAATCTCTACTATTCCAAGTCATAGTGATGATTTTATTTTTTTCCTCAAAAGTCCTTTGCAGGTGGCAGGATTAGCAAAATATGTGGCCAGAGCAAATGGGAACACAGTTCCACGGAGTGCAGATCCAGAAACAACATTTACCGTTTTTTCTCTTTCAGAACCATTGTGAATTAGTTTTAATAAAATATGTATTTTCTGGCATTGGATGTTTCTATTTGAGAAAAACACTAGAAGTAGATATATGTTTGGTTTGCTTATTATTGTCACATCTGCACTTCAAAACTGACCACAAGCAAAGGTTATGCATTTTTTTAAAAAGATTTATTTATTTATTCATACAGAACTGGGGTACAGGCCAGAGATGCGGAGGGTGAGAGGATTCATCAGAGACAGAGTGGGGCTCAGAACAGGCAGATCGACGAAGTACACTGCTGAGGGGAGCAGCAGGCGGGTCAGGAGAGGTCTGCCACGCCATGTGGATCTCCTCCGGGGCAGGCGGGGATCGAACTCATGAGGAAGTGGCTTAAGCTTCTTAGTGTAGTGCTTTAACCTGCTGTGCCACCAGGGAGGGCCCTGATCTGTGAGCATTTTTAAAATCTTCTTCGATTGGAGAATTGCATTAAGACTATATGTCATTTTAGCTAAGATTGAACATTTGCGTTTATTGATTCTGCCCATATAGAACATGAAACATTCTTCTGTGTTCTCATGTTGTAATCCAAGTTCTTTAACCTCTTTTTTTTTTAAGATTTATTTATTTATGCATACAGAACTGGGGTACAGGCCAGAGGTATGGGGTCAAGAGAATTTACTGGAGACAGAGTGGGGGGCAGAACAGGCAGATTGCCAAAGTACACTGAGGGGAGCAGAGTGCGCATCAGAAGAGGTCTGCCATGCCATGTGGGTCAGCTCCCTGGCCGGGGATTGAACTTTTATTGTTTTGGCTTAGAAGAGCTTCATAATGTGGTGCTTTAACCTGTTGTGCCTATAGGGAGAGCCCATAACCTCTTTTTCACTTTTTTATGTATATAAGAACTGAGGTATGGACCAGAAGTGTGGGGTGAGAGGATTCACCAGGGACAGAGTGGGGAGCAGAACAGTCAGACTGACTGAAATACACTGCTGAGGGGAGCATCGGGTGGGTCAGGAGAGGTCTGCTGTGCCATGTGACTATCTCCCTGACCAAGGATCAATCTTATGTTGTAGTGACTGTATATAGTTTCATAGTCTTGAGACATAACACTGGGCACCACCAGGGAGACCCTCATTTAATAACCTCATATTTCTCATGTGAAGGTCTTTTACTTTTTTATGCTAGGAAACTTTCAAGATGCTTAATTTTTTGGAAGCAATTAGAAAATGAAGTTTTTTTTTAATTTCCTTTGAAATGTATTGATCTTGGCCAGCTTCTTGGCTTTAATGTCTCATGTTCATGATACTCTAGGTAATTTTTCAATCCTAGATGCAGTACTAGGCATAGATAGTAGTTGAGAGAGATCACAGGTTGAGAGTTTTTTTTTTAAAGGTTTATTTATTTGTGCATACAGAACTGGGGTACAGGCCAGAGGGCAGGGGTGGTGAAAGGATTCACCAGAGACAGAGTGGGGAGCAGAACAGGTAGATGTACTGAAACACACTGCAGAGGGGAGCAGTGAGTGGGTCAGGAGAGGTCTACTATGCCATGTGCGTCACCTTCAGGGCAGGCGGGGATCGAACTCATGTGGACGTATTTTTAGCTTCTCAGTACTGTGCTTTTAACCCATTGCACCACCAGAGAAGGCCCCTGGGAGTTTTATTTTTTTACCGTCTTCTCCTGGGGTATCAGTTGTTGTATTAATAGGTGCTTGAAGTCTCGTTTATGCAGTGTTCATTTGTTGTTTTGGTTTTAGCCCTGGGATGGGAGGTGGTAGATATTTTGAATATCCCAATCTTGGTTTAAAATAGAAGCCTCCTCTATAAGGAGATCATGACGAGTTGACCTGTCTCTTTTCACCTGTTCAGGCTCTAGCTGTTCTTCATTGAGAATCTCAGGCTGAAGCCAGCAATCCTTGCTCTGTCCCCCCCACCAGCCTCCTAAGCTCTCTGCCTTGGGCACTGTTATCCAGTGCAGTGCCAGGTCTCAAGAGTTCCCAGTATTGTGTGTGTTCTGAGCCAACCATTGTAAAGGGTTATGCACAGCTGCCACCCCTCTCTCTTGTTGGTTGTATTCTCTGGCCTTACTATAAACATAGTTCACTTAAAAAATTTCCTACCTGGGCCCTCCCTGGTGGTGCAGCGAGTTAAAGCACAGTATTATGTAGCTGTCCACAGCCACTGCGCATGAGTTTGATTCCTGGCTGGGGGTGTGACCCACATGACAGCCTATTGCTTGACCCGCCTATTGCTCCCCTCAACAGTGTACGTCTTCACTCGCCTGTTCTGCTTCCCGCTATGTCTCTTTGCCAACTCCTCACCTCTGGCCTGTACCCCAGTTCTTGTATGCATAAAGAAATAAATCTTTAAAAAAATTTTTGTCCTACCTCTTTCCTACCTACTGCTGCTCCTGCTGTGTGCTGTGCTCAGACATTTGTCTGTCTCTCTTTTACAGCAATCTAGCTGTAAATATAAGGATATGGCAAGTTAGGAATCTTCACTCTGCCGCCATCTTGCTGGATTCCTCAGTTTCTCCTTGTTGAATTCTGTGTGTTTCTCATCTAGATTTTTGTTCTTGCGGCTACCATGAGACTTTCATAAAACGTTCACATCTAAGATAGACTTGTTTGTATTGGTATCATTTTGTATTCATTTATCTATACAGATTTTATCCTTTTAAGTATAAAATGGAATAATTTGAGAAAAAAAAACAAAAGAACCCTAAGGGGCAAGATGAAAAGGATGCTGTCCTTTCTGAGCCCATTATATTGGCTTCCTATGTTTTCCTGTAATTTGTTAATCTCCTTGTGATAGTCACTTGAAGTATCTGTTAGGTCACAAAATTCTGTATATTTATTTTTGATTACTGAGGTTTATCATTCTCTTTGTGACTCCATGTCGTGGGATTTTAGCTCTGTGGATGTGCCCTTCCTCACAAGGGATTATTGAACAGATGCCTGTCGTTTTCTTTCCAGTAGGTGGTGGTGTGGCTTTAGCTTTCAGATTCTGTTTTCTAGTCAACGTTTTGGGCCTTGGTTGGGGAGGTCAGAAAGGGAGGAGGAACCTTGCTGTGGCAAATAGGCACACAGCCACTTTGTTGCCCTTTTCCTGCATTGAGTTTTGGCCCTGGCACACAGCCTTTTCCTGCATTGGGTTTCGGCCCTGGCACACAGCCTTTTCCTTGCTCCCCATCTCAGGCTGCAGGTCGAGGTGGCTGGTGGCCTATTTGACTTTAACCACAGTCTTCCTTAGCATGGGAGGGAACAGAAAAAAGATTGCCACTGCTTCCCTGGGTAAACTTTCTGACTTCTTCTTAGCCCATGTAGTGAACCCTTTCTCCCCAGAGCGGTTCACTGGGGCTTAGCTATATGTGTCCATACCTGATCTGAAGGTAGTTCTGCCAATCCCACTCTTTCCTTTACCCCAACTTCATTCACCACATCTGTGAACTCATCTCCACTCACCATCAGATGCATAGACATGTAGGATTCTCTGATGTCTTTGGTTGATGAACAGAGGAGTTTTGTTTGAATTTTGAAGGTTCTATTGGCTGTAGGTTAAAAGGAAGAACTTGAGGTAGCGTCTCACTCCATTTTGATACCGAGGTCACTCTCAAGCTTCTGACAAATTTGATCAAGAAAAGAGAGAAAGAGATTATAAAATTTTAAAATATCAAGGAGGTATATCTAGAAATATGGAGATTTTCCAGAATTACATGGTAATGGTAAGCATAATTTCTTGTGATGAGTCCGTATAGTAAGATGAAATGATTTTCTAGTAAATGATCAAAATTTATTGGAATGCTTTTTGTTTTTTCCCTCACAGGAAGTGCCACAGGATGTGGCTTTGTAGTGTATCAAAACAACAAGTTTTTCCAATCAAAAACTTTTACAACTTATTCAAATTTTAGTCAAAAAATAATCTCTGGTAAAACTGGACAAAATGGAACAATTAATACCTTTGTCAAAAATGATCAGAGCACTTTTGTTAAAATGGCCATTAACCCAGAGGTGAGTTTTCCCCTTAAAAGAAATAAAAGTCCAGTCAACTTCTGATTTCAAAACAGGGATAGTTGGACAAAAGAAACCCATAAAGAAGATCCTTGAAAAATCTTTGAAAATATTCATTTAATCCTTCCCCACCCAGATTTTGTAGAAAATTAATTCAAATTAAATAATGTGAATTTTGTATTGCTTTCCCTCCCCAATCTGTTATGTTTAGTACATGTCTAATTGATTTCTTATCCTATCTGATTTTTTCCTACCCAATTAATTCTTAAAGTAACAGTTGCCACTTTCATTAATTCACAGTTCAACTCCAATGTATTACAAATCCATTCCTTTGCTTGCGTCTACTGGAATACTGACTTCAACGATTGGGACACAGATGGCTGTTATAAAGAAAGTGCCGATGGTGAAAAGCCGCTGCGATGCCGCTGCGATCACACTACTAATTTTGCCGTATTAATGGTAAGATCATGCACAGTAATGTTTTCCCAGATAGAATATTCCTTATTCATCATTCCAGTATGTTCTAGCTGGAGATAAATTTGAGATTTAGTTTAAAAGTCAACTTGGGTTCAATGAAGTAAAAACAACCACCACCAGGAAATAAAATGATAGGATTAAAAAGAAGAGGACAACTAAAGACAAGTGGAATGCAGTTTTTTGCAGTGTGGTCTCAAGATAGGTGAGTTCATCTCTAATTTAACAAGAAGGGAAACCATGTGCAAAAGAGGAGCTGACAGACTCCCTTTTTAATGCACATGTTGTGAAACATGAAGTTGCAACAGTCAGAGGTAAGGGCTGTGTAGGTGTATGTTAGAGACAGGTTCAATATAAACTTAGTTGTGGGTGGGCAAATTAAAAAATTACCAAAGACGTTTTCCTTTGGAATAATCTTAGTCACCAAACTTATAGTGAAAAAGATGAGAAAACGTTCTTGAATTCAGTTAATGTACTCTGCTGTTCTTGTCTGAATGACCTTCAAATCCTAAACTGCCTTGAGGAAATAACTGAAAACCTTAGTGCAGAAGTGCAGCTGCTATGGCATACAAGAGGGGTAACCCTCCAGGGTGGCGCAAGGGGTTAAGGGGTTAAAGCATTAAAGCCCAGCACTGCAAGTAGCCACCTCAGTGTGAGTTCCATCTGCATGGCCATCCGCATGGCCTGCAGACCTCTCCTGACCCACCCACTACTCCCCTCAGCAGTGTACTTCTTCAGTCTGCCTGTCCTGTTCCCCACTCTGTCTCTGGTGAATTAATTCTCTCACTGCCCCTGCACCTCTGGCCTGCACCCCAGTTCTGTATGCATAAATAAAACTTTATTAAAAAAGAAGAGAGGTTTTCCCTTCTAGGTCCAGGATCATATTCTGAGGAGACAATAACATAAACAAAAATGTTTATCTTATTATTTTTTATTCTTGAATGAATATTTTTATATGCAGTGGAATGGGGGAAGATAGTGTCTTACTAAGGGGCTATTAGTACAATAAATCTCCCTTAGAAAAGAAAATATTTTAATTCTCCAGTAGTTCTGATATTACAGGGCAGGGAGAAAAGGACACAGCTGAACCCCCAAACCTGCCTGCTCTAAATAGGTTCTGCCATCTGCTGTATCAAGACAAAACATATAAGACCATTAATGGAAAGGAACTTTAATACAGTCAATCTGCAACACAGAAAACACAAAGAATATAGTTTCCAAATCAAACAGCCAAAGTTACCCATCCCCTCGTG